TAGCGTGGTGATCTGCTTATCCACGCTATCCTGCCTGTTGTTGAAGAGTTGTAGTCTTGTTTCACATAGGGTAAACTGAATGTGTGTGTTTTCAGTTGACGGTACGAAACAGGTGACAATGAATCTGTTGTCGAATGATGAGCTACAACGTTGGTTGGAATCGTTTGCGATGTGTCCAAAACTAGTGATCGACGATTCGTGTTCGGGCGCCATATCACCCGCTCAACCGCAACGAATTGAAGTGGGCAGTGTACGAAGTGTGGTAAGTGAACGCAATTAATATGAAAATCGTCTTTTCACAATCTTTATTGAGTCGTCTGCTATTGAGTCAGTTGAAAGCGCTTAATTCTGAAGATACAATGGTATCTCACTACTGAAAAAGGTTTTGCTTTTGGAATCGCTGTTTTCCCGTAGAAATCTGCTCTGCTATCGTTTGCCAACTTAAGGTTACTTCAGTTTAACAATCTCCATTTTCTGCAATTTCGTTGATTCACGATGATTAATAAAACTGCGTTCAGTTGGCGAGGTTTTGCTTGCAACTGAATGGTTTCTGCAATAAGTGTTATCAGTGTTTGTTGAATATTGTTGATTACGGGCAATTACATGTGTCATTGATTCAGCAAATTTCGCGCTATCTTCATGCATTCATTTCTGTCTTTCTTTCCCATTGTTCTTCGTATTAATCTTCATTTCGTAAAGGCTAATCGTTGTGCGCCGCTTAACATCAAAAATGATTAGTTATTGTATTTCATTCTATCTGAAGAAACATGCAGATTAGTTTCGTTCTGCTGAGCGATATGAAAAATCCATCTTCTTTATAGTGGAAAATGTGGAATCTCAGATAAGAGAAATAGATTTAGCAAATCGCTCAGTTGATTGAATGCGTTTAGCCGTACTCATAATGTTTATAAAGCATTTCTGACAAGTGCCACTCAAAATTTGCTTACGCACTAGTAATAGAAATACTGAAGAGGAGCTGCGTTCTGGAGTGAGTTTACTCGAAAAAAGTTTTGAGATAAATTTTGGAGTGGTAATAGGCAAGATCGAGATGATATCAAACACTCTCCTGTTAAATTGCTGATTAGCATTTGCAAAAAACTGCTCGTTAGAAAAACGAACTTCAGTGATCTATTTGTTGATCGTCGTAAATTGTTCTGCTTTACACTACAATCCTTCTTATTGCAAAAGACAGTAGTAACATTTTTCAACAAGTGGTGAATGAAAATTTTGCTCGAAACTCAACGATATACCGGTCGATGTCAAATTTGAACATCATTGCATTTTGAATGAAAAAAGCAGAAAAGTGACATTTCTAGACGACAAAAATACCGAGTGCTCACTGTTGCAGAGTGATGAAGCATTTGGAGGAGACAGTCATGTGTGTAGTTGCAAGAAATTTCATT